TTCTTTCATTGCTATTAAAATTCCTCTCTGTTACTTCTAAACTTTCTGCTGCCAAGTGTCCCATTTCTGACTGATATTACATACTACTTATGTGTGTCAATATAAGTAGTATACACCGTAGATTGATTAAGATTTTATTGGAATTAGTAATAGTAAAAGTTAGCAACGACAGACGACTTCATGATCTCAAAAAAACATAGTGAATATTTTTTTATTGTGAGTTCGAAAAAGTATGCTAATTTCATTCATTTTAATCATATATTCAAGCAAGTGTACATTATATGCCCTTTATTGAATACCTTTGTTTCTGCAGCAATTTGGAAGACTCTTCCGGTCTCCCACATTGTACGAGCATTCCATGTACCTAAATTAATGGTTGCTCTGTTTGTTAGAAGGGGCATCAGTCTCGTGACTTCCGAAGGAACTCGGCTTTTACCATGAGGCGTCATAACTCTTCTAAATGAAGACCTTCTGACTCCCAAGGTAGAGTTTAAATGGTTTGAATAATTTTTTCTGGTTAGCGTTTTTTTAGCGAGTTAGTTTTCTACGGGATGGGGTCGCTAACCCCACACCCATCCCTACTCCTTTATCCGAGCTTGGGACCGGCAGTAGCCGCAGAGGTGCTTCAGGTGGAGTTACCTTAACTTCAACATATTCTCTAAATATAGTTTACATAATGAACTAACTTTAAGTATAAAATTATGGAGCACTAGGGGGCATCACCGTTTGGATATTAGACTTCTAAGAAATGTGAACCCATAATTTTATCTGGTATAGAATAAAGAAATCCAGCGATGAGTGTGTTACCTTTATAGATCTATGAACTAACATTGAACGGATAAAATATCCAAATTCATTCAATTTAAGACATTTCACAATCCTAATCTATTGATGATACTTCTCACGCTTTTGACATCCTCAAACGTGTAACTGGAGTAAAATAAATTCACTTAATCAAACCCAATCTCAATATTATAATGATAAAAATCGGAAGTTTGAATTTCTTATTGTTGGATTACACTACTGAAATGAATTTAAGCGAAGCGTCTTTTGTTTCATAGAATGTTAATTGTTTCTTTCAAACTATATTATTCATCAAAGATGGATAATGGTTAGCATTAGGAAACAGGACGCGCGTTTCGTCCCTATTTGGGACCCGTCAGCTGAATTTACCTGCATCCCAGAGTTGATGTCCACTCTGGGACTCGAACTCAGTACCGTTTGCTTCAAACGCCATCGCATTAGCCACTTAGTTACTGAGTCCTGATAGCCACTTGCTTGTGCTATGGGGTGAAGTTTGAACTCACTTGCTTATAACTCTTGTGGCTTAAGGCAATATGCACGGTATGCACATATGCCAATAAAAGACTGGTCATTTGCAATCCTAAACATCAATGGAAAGAATTTTCATCTTGTTAATTTATATATGACTGTGATTTATTTCAACATTTAACCTGATAAACGGTTAGAATTTCTTCAAAGATACACTGTAGTAAATGAGAACACAAGTGAGAACAATCAGATGTATTTGAACACAATATTACAGAACATCTTAGTAAAATCTGAGAATCATACAGTGAATAGTTCATTTGCAAAATGTCAATCAATTGACTCAGAATTCATTGTTCTTTTGTTTCCACACCAATTATTCTCTATTCTCATTCTCGTTTCTTTGATCTTCTTAACCTTCTGACACCAGGCATTTCACTTTCGTTTAATAATACATACTACTTATATCTATCGACATCGGTAGCACATACCGCACTCGTCCCCGCCCCTTTTAAAGCAGTCATTCTTGCGGTGGTTCTGCTCACTGTGCCACTTTCTTCTTCTCTACAGTCTGTGTGACTCTCTCCTTCATTTTTAAAAGAGTATTTATACGTATGAAACCGGAATTTAACTGTAAACAATCTTCCAATATGACTTAATGACCGTTTACATGTATTAATCAAAAGATTGTTTTATTACAGCAGAACTACAAGTAAATTTCATGAACAGGAAACCATTTAGCATATTCGTAAATGACAAACTTCCCTGTTTCACACCCTCTATATACATTTATAATTTCATTAGCTTTTGTAGAACAAGGTTTATAAGAACATAGTTAATGTTCACTTTCAATATGAATACAAGAACATATTCTATTATTTCATACAATTAGATCCATTGATAACTTTAAATAAAGGAAAAACAACTAAGTTTTCATAATAAAAGAAATTCATCAGTCTATTTAACATATATCAGTATAGGGGTTGTGGAGATTGTCAAGTTTTGATTAGATCATGAACCGATTGATGGTAGATCACCATTGGAAACCTGGAAGCATTGGACGGCCGTTTCGTCCCATTGCGAGACTCCTCAACAGTGCGCATCCACAATCCCGCTCTCCGCGATATTCGAACCCAGGGCCTTCAGTCTGGCGCGCGAACGCTTAACCTACTGGACCACTGACCCGGCATCCAATGGTGTTAATGTCTAACGTCAACCAATCCACAAAATTGCGAAACTATCTTCCATTGTACTGAGGCAGACACCTGTTTCTACCCGACACGGATTAACTCCACTGGTCACAGTTTCTCACCAGAACTCCGAGAATTTCACATATAACCTAAAAGTACAATTATTAATAAATGTTTAACATCATTCATCTAGTAACCTACATTAATTTGTAATTATTTTTTTAAATCCCCTCTCTAACCTTTTTATTTTATCAGTATAGAGTTGTGGAGATTATTAAGTTTTGATTAAGATCATAAATCAATCAATGTTGAATCACTATTGAAATCCTAGAAGCTCTGAATGACTGTTTCGTCTTAGTATGGGACTCATCAGTAGTACGCATTCACGACCTCACACTTAGTATTCGAACCCAATAACTTCGAGCTTGTTTTCTTTTCGTCTTCGTTACTCATCATTTACGTAATCTTATTGTTCATAAATGTGTTTATTTTTATCATGTTGAGCGTTTTACTAAATCAATTATGAATTTGACTACCCTTACGTAATCTCTTTTATCTCGATTATAAATCATAGTAACTATAATATCACCTGTTCTACTCTGTATTATAAATTTCCAACACACAAATATACATCTATGTTAATTACGTTTATTCATACACTTTGTATCAGTATGTTATTATTATTATTATTATTATTATTATTATTATTTTGATTACATTCCAACAGTTTACCTAAACTTCACTAAGTTGTATTAAATGGTGAAGATTTGTAACTCAGGTGGATGATTTTGGAGTTTTATTCCTTGAGCTGGATGGTTTAGTCGTAGAGCTTTCATAGACGAATGAATTCATTTTATTCTGCAAACTTTGTTCTTCTCTTTCTGTTTAAGTATTCCATTATGATATTATGAAGATGACAGAGAGATGGTTCTAGCTTTGAATAATTAATCCACTGTTCTATATGTTAATTTTAAAGTGTTTGTCGAAGATTTCTTCATATTCGACTGCTTAGGTCAATATAAATCATTTGTTATCCATGAAATGAGTTCTGAACTTTATGCACTAAATGAAATATATCTTATTTTCATTCACCATAAAGTTATCTCATTGGGGATAACATTGATAATCAGAGAACACTGAAAAGCTGTTTCCTTCTAGTACGAAACCCCTCAGTAGTGTGTATTCATAGGAACTGAAGTTGTTGGGTTCGATCATTGTGAGGTTATGAGTCCACATCGTTGAACGGTCATATACTAGGATGAAATAGATGTCCATTGTTCCTAGGCTTTTAATGGTATTTCATGACTGCGAATCATTCACAATGCCTCAAATGCACTTACTATTTTGGTGGAGTTTTGTTCTCTGAGCTGGATGGTTTGGTCGTAGAGCTTTCATTGTTCTTCTGAACGACATCATCAGCACAAACTTCAGATATCTGAGCTACAAATCTTCTGCATTTACTATTTATCTTTCTCTAAATCCTAAATTTTAAAATTGTCTTCTAGCCTTCTATCCTACGAATTCATGGTTTCTTCTTGAGTTATATCCCCTATGGTAAATGTTTTTTCTACAACCAATAATACTGTTATTACTTCTACAACTCTAAGATTTGTCTGGATCTCAAACTTGAACTGATACATATATATGCCAACTCCTATAGTATATATGACTGTTTTGACTCAATACTACACTAAATGAAATCAATTTGTCACTAATATAGCCTGAGAAATAATAATAAATAAACTAAAAGAACCTTCACAAGATCCTTTCAACGAAAATATTGATACAATTTCTTATGTAATTTCATAGATGAGTTATTGCCACAAATAAGTCAGTCAGTTAGCTACAACGTAGGATCAGGCACATATATGCATCGGTCCAAGTTGCCATAGCTCATAAGCACAACAAGATGAACACCAAATTCATAGAAGTAGTGAATTCAATGGTGATAATGTATAAAAGAAAGATTACATATAAGGACATAATACAGGAAGAAAGAATTAGTTGGTAGACAGAAAGATGTGAAGCGATTTTAATCTCATAGTTTAAGGGAAGACAGAGAGTGTATACACTGACGCCATTGTGATCGATCCTGAGCAATGTCACCAAGAGTCTCCAACCATTGGTTGTGATAGTCACACTGAGCCCAACCAAGTATTCTGCATCTACCAACATAGCTAAGACTAGAAGTTAATGACTTCAAGGACTGATGTTACGCTTTTGTTTAACTGCCACTAACTTTCTTCCAACCATCCCCAACACTAATCAGACTAGAAGTTAGTGACTTTGTGGACTAATGCCACGTTTTTGTTTGACCGCCCCTAACTTTCTTCCAACCATCCCCAACATTAATCAGCATTGCGAGTCGTGGTAATCGGTGTTCAAGTACAATCGACCAATTCTATGGATCATAAATTAGTATTAAGCTCTTAATGAATTAAAGTTTTTTTTTAGAAATAACATCGAACTCCTTGATTAGATTATGATCTCTAATTTTGATTACGACGATGATCAGAGTGACAATCAAAAGTCAAACAATCTATACAGACAATTCTCATATTTGTTCAAAAAATACAACAAGATTTTTCGATCAAAAGTATACAATTTAAACAAACATTTTCATCATTATTATAAATGACTATTCAAGGTTACACATTAAAATATGATTAGTGTTAAAGTGTATGTGTATGTGTACATGAAAAGATTCTACTGTATGAGACGGAAACTCGGAAAACTACGAAAACCATCATCTAGAAAATACAAATGTTTATTAACAATCGTCTACGCAAAAAAATACTTTGGATCCGTTGGCCAGATACTATCAGCAGCAACCTACTATGGGAGAGAACAAACCAGATTCCAGCTGAGGAAAAAATCAGGAAGAAGTGCTGGAAGTGTATAGGACACACATTGAGGAAAGCACCAAACTGCATCACAAGAAACGCCCTCACTTGGAATCCTTAAGACACAAGGAAAAGAGGAAGACTAAAGAACACGTTACGCCGGGAAATGGAGATAGACATGAGAAAAATGAACAACAATTGGATAGAACTATAAAGGAAGGCCCAGGACAGAGTGGGTTGGAGAATGCTGGTCGGCGGCCTATTACTCCATTGGGATTAACAGACCTAAATAAGTAAGTAGGTAACATGAAAAGAGATAAAGAGATTATTCACTTTACACAAAATTGTTATCAAATTTTCTTGTATTATATGTTCCCATATGATATATATATATATTGGACATTGGATAAATTGTTGAATATTGATTCTATTACTTTCTTCCTCCCCCAACCCCATCCAATTTTTTTTTAAATTAAAGATATTCAAGTGCTTGTGGACATGTTAATAATTCTCTTAATAATCTCCATGCTTGTTTTGCTGTAATATCCATTCCTAATGTAGAATATCCTCGAAATATATCTAAATTTGGTAAAAAATAATGTGGACATCGACGATGTTGTAAACATGATATTAATTGTAATAATATACTATTAATACGATCCCCTAATGTATATTGTGTCCAATCATCATCATTTGGATGTTTTTCACATTCATGTAAAACAAGTGTTTTAATATCATATTCTTGAATGACTGAATTCATCATGTTCATTGGTGACGACGATGTGGATGCAGTTGATGCGGTTGATGAAGTTGATTTAGGATGTTTAAAATTAATCTCCTTATTATTAACACCAGTTAAATGTCGATCAGCTAATGTTTTTAATATACTAAAACATTGTCTACGTATTGTATGATTTAATAATAAACGTTCTTCAGCATGATAAAAATCTAATAACCATGCATCTCCTTCAGCGGATGCTTGTTTATCTTTTGTATATACGGATTCTTGACTTAATAAACAAAATCCTTCATATTTCACTTCATTAATTAATTGATTCGATGGCCATTTAATTCTATTAGAAGGAGGAGTAGTAGTATTTGTTAATTCTATATTCAATTCATTATGAATAGGATTATGACTAGTTATAGGCCAATGACTAGCTGATCTAGGCCATAAACCATTACAACGAAATGCTGGAGTAATTTGTAATATATACTTATCATGTATACATAATTTCACTTCAGTTGTATGCCCTAACATACGTACAATATGACGATAGGCTGATTTTTGTATTGCTTGTCCAATTAAACTATGAAATCTTGCACGTATTTTTCTAGCTGATAAATATCCTGATGCTGTAATAAATTCAACCCATAATGACATTGAACGTTTACGACCATCGGATAATTTTAAGACAGCACCACCAGGTATACTACCATCATCCATAAAATTAAATACACCCATTTGATTTAAATAAAGTGTTATCTCAAAATGATTTGATGATAGAACACGTAAACCATCATAATAAACTCCATTTTGTGAATTATTATTACTATTACTACTATTCATGGGATTCGTTGTAACACTAGTAGTACTACTACTAATAGTAGTAGTAGTATTCGTTGTATTCAGACTATTGATTACATTCGAAGTAGTATCCGGTGAAGTATTATTATTCTCATCATCATCATTATCATCTTGTTTCTTTTCTATATTATTTGTATGAATCACTTTTAATGTACTAACAAAACGTGGTTCTTGTAATTCAACTTCATGTAAAATCTCTTGAGCTATTTGTACAATTTCATGTAATGTATTTGCTATTGTATTACGTCTTGTTTCAACCCGATTTATATAAAATAAATGTAAATAATGATAAATTGGATTAGGTATAGCGGATAATTGACGAAATAATTGTGGTTGTGAATGAATTATCTGATGTGGATATTGATGTTCATGATGTTGATGATGATGATGATGAAGATGATGAAGTTGATGATGAAGATGTTGAGGCAATTCATCATATTCAATAGAATGATATTTTTTTAATAATCCATTCTCTTCATCATTCTGATTTGAATCTTCAATAGTGTTTTTATGAGGATGATGATGATTATTATTTCTATACATTAATCTATGGGTATAAATGGTTGGTAACAGATCCATGAGTTGTTGTTGTTCTTGTTCTTGTTGTCGTTGTTATCGTTACTAATGCAACTGATCTATTCTACTATGTATGAAATGTCTATCCACGTAAAGAAATCTCTTTTTTTTTAAAAAAAAAAGAAAAAAGTATTTATCCAATAGCTAAGATGTTCACAATTGAATACAATAAGAAACAGTTGTTCTTCACTACAATTTATACATAAATGCCCCCCCATACACACACACACACATTCACATATCCATACTCTCTGAATATGTTCAATGATATTCTCTAATCGTTTAGAACATTTAATTATGATGAAATATGTATATTATATATACAATGAATAGGATAAATACATTCAGCACACTAAGTCATTCATTCATTCATTCGTTTGTATGAGTTGAATGCCTTTTTTTCTTTTTTCCTTCTAGAAATATCATTGATTTATGAGTGTTGAATATTTGAGAATAATTGCTGAAAACAAAATGATGATTGTAATGAATACACTACTTGTCATTAGTTGTTATTAGTAGTATGAATATTAGTAGTAAAGTTGATAATGATCTATTTCCAGTTTTAAATTATTGATATATATAACAATAAATCTTCATATTCTAATCAATATGTATCTATCCATCTCGACAAACATGTTGTTTATTGAAAAGAAAAGAAACAATAATGATTTATGTATTGTGTTTAGTATTAGAAACAATGGAACATTGAACATGTTTGAATGTCTATTACATATATATATATATATCTACATTCTCTTTCTCTCTCTCTCTCCCTTTCTCTCTCGAATGTATACATGTTCATCCTTCCGTCCTATTACTATTACTGCCCATAGTATCCAATTCCTTACTGTTGGTTTCATTCCGTTGTGTGTGTATGTATTGAATTGAATACTCTTTTCTATTTAGAATGTTTCCCCCCCCCTTTTGCTCGTTAATAATAAATTATCAATAATATGCTTACCAATAATAAATGTATTGATTTTTTTCCCCTTTTTTTTAAAAAATGCGATCCAATCAAATTTATTTATATAAAAATGAGAATGAAACATTTTGACCAATCAAATGATTTCGAAGTTGCTAGAATGGTTTACTTCATATGAACTGGTAACAAAAGTCATGTTTTGTAATTGTTTTTCTCACATTAATCTTAAATAAATAAATAAATAAATAATATGCGATCTAACTATTATGGAATCTCAACAGTTGAGATCATGAGTCAATTGAAGTTAGACCACCATCATGGAATACCTGGAAGTACTGGATGACCGTTTCATCCTATTCTCGGACTCTTCAGTAGTGTATATCCACGATCCTGCATCACAACATTCGAACACACGACCTAACGGACTTGTGCATGAACTCTTAATCACTAGACCAATGAGCCAATCATCATTCAGCGGTGTTAATATTTAACTTCAACGAATCCATTAAATTTGAGCGACACATTCACCATTGTGATCAGTGAGTTACGATCTGACAACTGATCCGGTTGAACTCCACTGGTCACTGTTTCTCACTAAAACTGCAGGAAATACCTCATTGAAGTCAGTCACTCGTGAGGATATGTTGATTAGTATCAGAAGGGGTTTTGTGGAGTTTGTAGTAATTTCAATAGTTTTGAGATAGGAACTCACTGATGACAATGGTCGATGTGTCGCTCAATTTCGTGGATTAGTTGAAGTTAGACATTAACACTGTTGGATGCCGACTCAGTGATCTGGTTGGTTAAGCGCCTGGCGTGAGGCTGACAGATCTTGCGTTCGAGTCCCGTGGGGCGGGGTCTAGGATGCGCACTGTTGAGAGATCCCACAATAGGACGAAGCGGTCGTCCAGTGATTCCAGGTTTTCCATGTTCGTCTAGCTTCAAATGACTCATGATCTCGACTGTTAAAATTACTACAATTTCCACAAAACCCCTTCTGATATCATGGAATGGTTTTTCGTTCAGTCAAATGATTTTGTTTGTAGAAACATTTTCAAACAGCCTAGTTATTATTAGTTGTAACTGGTGAAGTTCAGTTATATCGGTAATGTGATAGATATGACTAGTAAGATTCGATAATTACGGTAGAAACATGGTAAATTGATGAAAGTTGGAAATGTAAACCACTATATCAGTTCAGTATTGAATTAGGTCGTTTATGAGCACTTAGCATTAGTCTCATGTTGTTATACAAAAGATGTTTATAATCCCTCTATTACAAATATATACCAATTGAGATTTATTTGTGATGAAATTCATCTTAACAGTACTGTATTTCATTAAGGTAAATTGTTCATTAAACTTACCATTCAACCAAACCTTTGTGACATAATCAGATCTAAAAGAAATGATGAGTTTAATCAGGTGTTTGAATGATAGGCTTAGAAACAGATTATTATGGAACGGGTCTATTTATTCCTTCCAATGAACACTGAGGTTAATTTCACTCTGTGTTATATTTAACTTTCTTCTACGATTCATGTTATTATTTCCTCATTTTCTACTTTTTATTCTGTTAATTCTCCCCATCCTCTTTGTTGTACTAACAGATGATGATGTGACAATACGGCGAGATACAGATAGTACATTGTATGTAACTAACTTTGTTTAATATTAAATGGGAAGCATACAACAAACTGAGCCTATCAAAAACTGTATTCCTGTTACAAATAAGAGCATATTTATACTTCTCCCTGATAACAGATAACAGTTCTGACAATAATCTATCACCATTTTTAAAAGATATTCTAGGTATGTGTTATAACTTGTCGTTTGAATGCTTATTGTCTTGGCTCTTTTAATGCTACTTTTTGTATCTGGTCGCCACTGATTGTTATGGCGGAAACGCTTATCACTTATAACCGGAACAAAGGACCTCTGCAATTCCCACGACGCGAAAGTAAGAACACAAAGACTGGTATAAGTGATGATTTATTAACACCAAAACACGACGACGACGACTATAGTAGAAAATACACTCATTTTTATATTAATTGTACACCCATTTTGATTAATAATTAGGATGAAATCACATACTGAGCATAGTGTTTATGTCAATGGAATACAAGAATATCGCATACTATACAGAATAAAATATAATACGAGAAAAGAAAACAAGAAAACTACATTGAGTAATCATTCCATTGAATCAAAACGCAAGTACAAGTGTACAAAACTCATAATGAGTAAATCAATCGAAAATTGACTTTTCTTTCCATCATATCAGTATGATAAATACGGAGTAATTAATATGAGCTGATAAATCTATCAACTATAGATTAATATAAGCAAAGTTAGATGGTAGTTAACAGTGGATTCTAAGACGTGCGTTTCTTTCTTTTCGGGACTCGTCAGCTGGATATGCTTGCATCCCAGAGTTGATGTTCACTCCGGAAATTGAGCCCTGTCCCAAATAAAACGAAACACACATCATGGATTCCACTGCTAGCCACCATCTATCTTTGTTTATGAAGCTTGTGAATTATGGCAATATCAATGCAATACACATAGTATGCATATATACCGAAAAAAGATTGATCAATTGTGGTCTTAAACATCAATAGCAAGATACAAACAAACAATAATAAATGAATTTATAGATTAGTATTGTTATGTAAATCTAGAATTTAAGGAGGACCAAACTTCTAATATACTAATGAGTAATTTTCCTTCAGAGATCAAAATAACCATTTTATTACATCAGAACTATAATTAACCTTCACGAACAGAAAAGTATTTTCCAGATCTGTACAGAATAAAATTTCCCACCCAGTTACCATTATATACATCTACCAGTTTATGTGTTCCCATCGAGTAAAATACATAGGTTGAGACCAGTGTTCAGTCCTAACACAAAAACAAGAATATATTCCAGTATGGTGTTACAAAGGTATGAGTAAAGCGGTTAGGATTTCTGTCCTTTATGATTTAACCGACTCTAGTCAGTAAACTAAACCAAATTTTGATTTTAATATTCTTTACAGATTCCATCAGAATCTATTCGGATTTCTTTACATTCAACCGCTTGAAAAAAAACTGCATAAGCTCTTGTCATACATGAGAGCAATTCGGAACTTTGAGTACAACATGAAGTATATCTTACCGTTGCCCTTACTAAGAACTTAAACTACCATTACTATTCACAAGAATGATATATTTGCAATGTCCTAATGAGTAGAAAAACTAAATCTTCAAGTGTTCGGATGTTTTGTCACCCAGTATAAGCTGCTTCTTCAGAGAATAAATCTATGGATAAGAAGAGATTCATTCTCTGAAGAAGTAACTTATACTGAGTGACGAAACGTTCGAAAATTTGAAAATTTAGTTTTTATACTCATTAGAATATTGCAAATATATTATTGTTGTCCATAACAATCTACCCTATGCTCAACTTATTTGAAATTATCAAGTCAAACCATGGTAATGACATCTACAATTACTATTATCATTGAGACTACTAATACAACTATTGTTATGGTTATTTTTATTTCATTTCATCGACTTGACATTGGTAAAAGGTTTCCCTCTCTTTCTTTATTTCTCATTGTCTCCTAATTGATTTCACCCATAATTTTGTTCCGATATCATTTGATGTCACTTAATTTCTTAAATACCTTTAATTACTATGACAAAAAACTTCCGTTATCTTACTCCATTCACACTAGGACTCACTGTTAGCCTGTAAAATCTATGTGTCTTTTTATTTATACGCATTTTGTGGAAGTTACACAACCTTTCATTTCCTACTACTAGGTTCAGAGTTTCTTGTCCACTGACTTCAACCACCATCTTACATCTCAACATAATGAACTCGATGTCAAGACATCTAGATCAGTGGCCACGTTGTAACTTGGTAGATAGAATTCGATTAGCATTAGGATGAACTAAACATACTTTATATTTGACATTCGCTATTCAGTTATTAATTTATTCTAAAATGTAAGCTAGCTGATGGGATTACCATTGGAGGGGAATCAAGGAAGCACAGTTCGTCTTAGAATCAAGTTCACTAACATTCGCATCAAACATCATCCCGTTATCCACTTACCTACTGACAAGGTAGTTCAAAACATTTTAAAGTGAATTACATCTCATAACCGTTGTATAAGTGAATGGCTATCTAGACTTAATAGGTAAGTGGATGTCACTTGAAGCCAGCAGTACTGGGTTCTGGTCCCGGAGTGCACATCAACTCTGAGATGTAGCTACATTCATATGACCAGTACTAAATAGGACGGAACCCGCGTCCTGAATTCTACTTCTGGCCAAAAGTATAATATCCTGACGATCTTGGGAGGATTTTCATCCAATCAGGAAAAGCTACCAAGTTATACGACAATTAACAATACAAAGTAATGATATAGCAGTGGAATAATAACTCTAATCCCATATGTCAAACGATCCCTTGTAATAAAGAATAAAGAACAAGTGTACATATATACATAAATGTTATGATTCGAGCTAGTGTTTTCAGTTAGGTTTATCATCTCATAGAGTATTCGTCACCAAATGACATTAGTTATCATGCAAAATGGTTTGGATTAGCTATTCAGAGTTGAACTGGAGTTAGGATTTTCAACACAAAATGACATCAGCTATAATACAATACCTTATCATCTCCTTATTTACAAACTTGAGAAACTTAAGATTAAGATATAGAGTGAGAGTATGAAAGAGAAAACCTTATTTAACTTCACTAAACACTATTGATTATGCAATGAATGAGATTGTATTTTAAAATACAATCTGCCTTAGGAGCATATATGTTATGTAATTTA